GAAGGGTCACATCAGGTCGGCCAATTATTCAAAAGAAGACAATGGAGCGTCCATTATCTTATCACAAAGGAATCTTCAGCCTTACGGCACTCAGAAAAGCAAAAGGACTCGAAGATAATTATGTAATATTTTAGGGAAGTCCCTGAAATAATTTCCCTTTGTAATAAGTCCCTCCTTCCATCTATAAATGGAGAGGAACTTCATACTTAGAGGGCAGACTACATTTTCTGAGAGAGCACCCATCTAAGAAAAATGTTAGGTACCTTCGAGAGTATGAGTTTTAGTGAGTAGTAACTTCTCCCGCCAGGGAAAAGTATTTCTAAATATGTTGTGAGTATATATATATATATATGTAAGTGTATTGCCTTTCGTATACTTATAGTAACTATTGTCACTTCTTTTTTGATTTTGATAGTTTCTGCGATTACATGGATTATATCTATTTACACAAATACCTCGATGATTTCCGCTCGTTAATACATAGAGTCCAATAAGCATATCTTGCGTTGGTACGGAAATGGGATCCCCAATAGCCGGAGACAAAAGATTCATATGAGAAAACATAAGTAAACGGGCCTCTACTTGAGCCTCCAAGGATAAAGGTACATGAACAGCCATTTGATCTCCATCAAAATCGGCATTGAATCCCTTGCAAACTAATGGATGTAAAAATTATGATATGAAATAAAAGTTGGTTTGTACACCTCTCTTCTTATAACTCCATTAATAGTCTTAAGTGAAGGTTGCGATCTTCAACCTTAGGGAGGAACAGTAGAAAAGTAACCAAAGACTGAGGTCGTTAGGGTGAAAAACTGTTCATAGCCTAAAGGGAGAACTTCTGCGGAAGTGATAAGGATTGTTCATCGACGAAAGAGAAGAAAGGTATACACGTAAACTTTTAATTTCATGTTATTAATTTTTAGAATTACACTATCATGTTATATAAATACTCAAACATAGAAAGAAATGCTTAATACCTATAGGGAATTAAAATAACATTGAATATCTCATGTTAATCATGCTTACATATCATGCTACGAAGTATAATTTTATATTCATGCTACTGGCCTAATGAAAAATATTCAACAATCTTTGCATAGCATAAGAAAAAGAGCTTGGAAGCATAAAAAGGCTTTATTACATATGGATAAAGCAATTTATGAAATGGAACAAGTATATTTGCATTCTAGTCATGCATATGATGCAATAATATTTTCAATACATGAAATGAAAATGTATAGAATACAAGAGTATTTTGAATATAAAAATGCTCTATCAATCTTAAAAAATTATATAGTGTTCACTGCATAAGAACTATTCATGCTAAATTATCCACAACCCTGTTTTAAAAACAGCCGCAAAAAATGGTATCAGAGCCAAGTACTAAACAAAAATAATGGATATAAATTTTACTTTAGTAAAATCTTTCTGGTATATAGAAAAAGAAACCTTAGTAGCTATACTTAGATGAAGATCTAAGAAGAAAAATAGTTAAAATCAATTCTTTTAAAAGATATTCAATAGTAAGATTGAAGATTATTTGATTCCCATGAATATGAATCGAATAAAAATAGCCATCTTTTACAGGTTGGTGTCTATCTTTTTTTGTATCTTTTGCACATAATATATTATGCAGGAACCAAACCACACACTGTCATCGTTTACTTTTTTGTCAGCTTTGGATCATTTCTATTCTAAATGAGCTCAATAGACTTCTCCACTATATCAACCAAATTCACATCTTTTTTTTCCCAATCTTTGTTAATTGCTAACTGAAGGAGGGAGGGGGGGGTTAGAGAATGACATAAGAGTCCAATCATTATAACGAATACATTGATCCCAAAACAAATACGCAAGTCACTGTAACCACACCAAATCTACTACTCCCTCTGTTCCAATTTATGCGACTTACTTTCCTTTTTAGTCAGTCCCAAAAAGAATGGCACATTTCTATATTAAGTAATAATTTAACTATAAAATGTCTATTTTACTCTTAATAAAATAATTTACAGCCACACAAATTTCTATCATTCATTTTGGACCACAAGTTTTGAAAGTCTTCCCTACTTTCTTAAACTCCGTGCCGAGTCAAACTACCTCACATAAAATGGGACGGAGGGAGTATTTCTTTTCACAAAAGACTCCGGAAAGAAGAAGGCGACGCATCAGCTTCAGAGGGAGTTGTAGCTCCATATCTTTGTTCAAGGTTAAAAAGCAACCAAAACAAGTTTTTTATAATATCCTTCAAAATACCCTCACTGATCAAAACATTTTTAAACTCAACAAATTGAGTTCCAAAGTTGACACTCACAGTGACCCATGAATAATAAGGCATGACACATTCAAGTGGGTCTTAAAATCCATACTTTTCACGTCAATAGTCTTGATACATTACTGGAACCGAAAGAGCCTCATATTCAGTACCTTTAAAATTATCATAGCCACCAACATCATTATTTGACCTAGCAACAGCTGCTAATTGGGCATCTTTTTTTAATCATGTTGTTTTTATCTATTTTCTGTTCTTTCTAATGTAGCTGCCGCTGCATCCTCAACCAAATGTTTTGCTGATGTGCTCTCATTTCTTTCTTCTTCTCCTTTAGATGAATGCTCACTTGTACTATGATCAAGTTTTCTTCAAATCATCAATCATCTGTCTTTATCTTCTTCTTCACACAACTGCTCAGTTGCACTCTCACCATTTTTTTTCTTCTTTGCCCGACTGTTCACCGCTACTCTCATGTGTTTCTTTTTCACCAACTAATTGCTCATTACTTAAAGGCACCACAATATCCGAAGGTACAAAATCAAGAGCCTTAGTTGTTTGTTCAGCTTTGTTTGCTTCCTTAGTCAACTTTTCCAATGATGTGGTAGCTTTTTTACTATGTGTACCACAGCCAACTGTCATAACCACTAGCCACCAGTTATAGTCATCACCATCAACTATCATTACCATATAATAGCCACCAATCACTATCGACAACAATAACCACCATCAGTCACCACTATATATTTTCTCAATAGGTACCAGGTAACTCTGTCTCACCAAGGCTAGAACAGATGTGAAGAGTCACCTAATATTTTTGTCTTTGGTGGGATTTGAACCTGAGACCTCATGACTCTCAACCACTTCATTGATCACTAGACCACACCCTTGGGTGACCATCAGTCGTCACTATATATAACCAACCAACATCATCATTCACCACTAGCATAAGCTATCACTATCATCCACCACAATTATCAACTACCCCAATTAACAACCATCGTTAACCACTACTACAAGTCGACTGTCATCTCTAGCTACTACCTACAACCACCACCATCAGTCAACACCATTCTTAATCGGCACCCACAACCACTATCGCTATCCATCAGCACCACCAACCATTATACAATTTTTTAAAACTATTTTTGTAGTATTACATTTATTTAGTTTTTTATATGAATTTTACATTTATTATTCTATCTATCCTAATGCATGTGACACTTTTTGGATTTCGAAAGTCAAATGAGCTATTTTTGGACCACAACTTTTTTCATACACCTAGAAAATATTTTGAATTGTCACTTATTGTGATTTGTAGTACTTTTTACATAGTTCTCAAAAATGTAAATTTTATTTATAAAAACTTAAAGATTGCATGTACGAATCAACGATCAAAATTCAAAACTGGGTCTCGAAGTTCAAACTGAGTACATAAATTGGGACTGAGAGGATAATTTTTAAATAAAAGACAACTTCTATACATTCAGATGTTGAGAAGACAAACAATTTAAATTATTTAGTATTCATATGTCAGTATTTAGATATGTATTAGGAATCATATATCTATATCCTAATGTACATCTTGATATTTAGATTCATACATTTTAATCTTAATAAAAACATATGAGTTCATTTTGTCATAAATCTTAATCATTCAGAATTATTCAGACTTATTAAATGGCCTTGCACCTTTTCATTTGAATGGGAAAAGAAAACCAAAAACAAGAACAAGAAGTGAATAGTCAAAATTTTCCTTCAAAGTTCTAAAATTCTTTTGAAATATGGTTACCAATGAAGAAAAGTGTAAGCTTATGCCCAACTGTCCTAGTACTTCCTAGTTTAATCAAACTTCAGAAAAATACAAGAAACGTCAAACATGTTGTACTTTCTATCACTTGGGAGTTTGGACCAGACAAGTTTTGTTGATAAACTAGTTATTTATGCCCTGCATTCTTTTATAATTATGAAGATTTAGAACCTAATAGTTGATAACTAGCAGTGCAATGCCTCTGAATATGATGCAATTCTACTATTAACTGTGATGCCTATGGGAATCATATTTGGAGTTCAAGCTGTTAAATAAAACCTCAGTGACATATGTGTTCCAGGCATTGAAACATGAGGGTGGAAGATTAGCAAAGAAATGTAGACCACCTAATTGTGAAATATGGGTCAGGGGTTTGACTCACAAAAGCAGGCCTCCATTCTTATAAAGGGTAATATGATGTACAACCTCACCCCCCATCCCCAAACAAAAAACCACTACTAGCAAGGGCATTTACACTAGACTGTCAATAGATATGAACATTCATGGCTTTAGGTGATAAGAAAACATAAGTTGATAATTGTACTTCAATTGACAAGCTATGGCCAGTCTGCAGAATAGCTTCAGGAGCCATCCACAGTATGGCGTACCCTTCATTGACTTTGTAACGGTCATAATAGCAAGCCTAAAACAGTTTGACAATTCAGTTGTCAATAAATATCTCAAGAAGCAAAAACAAAATGAATAAGGCAGCGAAGCCTGAAATGCCCGTACCAATTCAACAACCTTCTTTCATACACCAAATTCAAAGATAGTTTGATGCAGCCTTTAATGTAAACTGGTATGTTTACTCCCTAGATGAATTAAAACACACATCTCATTGGATTCAGTATGAAATGGAGATTCGTGAATGGAGTAAAGCAAGTTAGAATATCCAATAACTAACATACTGAATGAAAGAATTACCTTAATATCTCTGTGCATAATTCCATTCTCGTGCAAGTAGTCTAGTCCTTAATAATAATTGCATGGTATACATTCTTATAACCTGATTTGCCAAACAAAAGATGGAGCAAGAAGATTTCAGAAATTTAAAAGGCAACATTGTGTTCCAATAAGCATATGTTCTAGTTCCAATTGCATCATGTTAAGGCATATGGAAATAAACAACTAATGGTACAGATGGAAAGCAAAAGACCACAGAAAGGTGTTGATGTTCACTAATTTATCAGCCAAACAACCCACAAGAATAAGTTTATTATTAAATAAGTAAGAAAAAGGAAACAAAACAAGGTGTTTAACGTCCCTTATTTCATTTAGCGAGAATAGTAGCAAGCACTTATAGATTCAGGGAAAGATCCAAATTTTCCCAAAAAATGACAAGATTGAATCCCCAGGAACAAATTCCAGCAATTTATTTAATGATCATGCCTTTCTTGCAGTTCTCAGATATGCCTGAGAACAATACTGCAACAACAACATACCCAGTGTAATCCCAAAAGTTGTTTCCAAAAAGGGTAGAATGTATGCAGACCTTACCCCCCAGGCAGAGAGGTTGCTTCCGGTAGACCCTCGACACAAGGAAAAACATTTCAAAGCAAGTCGAAAAAGAAATAACGAGATCTCTGAGAAGCAAAAAGCAATAGAACAGTAAAACAATCCTCATCACACCCTAACTTGAGACAATATAGAACCATGCTAATGATTATGTTGGAATGGGAGAGATTCTTAAAAACTAAGTTGCTCGGACTCTCCGAAAATGATGCCGAACCCGTGTCGGATCCTTCAAAAGTTACACTATTTTTGGAGGATCCGACACGCACCCGTCGACATTTTGGAAGAGTCCGAGCAACATAGCTTAAAAATATCCAGTTCTTCTTCAAGCTCCCCAAACATGAGTTAGACTCTTAAAATTGTCAATTTCTCAGGTTGCACCCATTGAGATTTCTTAAAGCAAGAAGCCAGGATCCTTGACGTAGAACTCACAAAGTCATTTATCAGGGAAAAAGTAACTAATGTACTTGGCATTGGGAAATTTCTTCTTTAAATTTTGTCTTAAGAAATCATTTTTGGATCATTTCCCATACTTTGTTGGGTAAAATAGCAAGTGAATATGAAGATTGTACAAGGTGGAATTTAGAGTATGAGGAGAATATTTGGTGATACTTTTGATGTGAAAAATTGTGAACAACATCCAATTGTTAACTGAACTAAACCACAATTTGAAAGGCAAAAAAATTTCATTCATATGTGATGGAAATCAATCACCTTTAGTGAAAAATATAACAATTCTATGCAACGAAACACTAGAAATTGATTTCATCTATAAAAACATTCTCTTACAAATCATTCTCAATTTTATCAAACGCAATCCATAATTAACTAGTTTAATATTTATGCAACAATTTAACTCAATTTTGTCCCCTCACCCTATCTAAAGGGATAAGGAACAACATTAAGCTATTAGGTCAATCAAAATCTCTTACTTCCCATTGAAGCACCATTAGCAGCAAAAGAAACATTCATTTTGGAAAATCCCAAATTTCAGCAGCATAAACACATATTTCCTTTTCCAACCGTGATAACGTAAAAAAAAAAGTTGACAGAGAAGCAGTTAAAGCGGAAATTTTACCTCCGACCATGCGAGTGAGTAACTCTCTGGAATCAACATTCATCCCCCATATAATTGGCGGAAGAGCACATATTCGAGTCTTTGACAAAAGTCCATACTTGATTTCGGAACCAATCTTCGCCTCCAAAGGACTCTCATTTTCCAATTCTCTGCATTTTGCGACAGAATTGGGAGCAGACAACTAAAACTTTGAGGAGTGGAAGAGATGGCAGAGACAAGGTGTCTGAAATGTGCCTAACAAAAACACAAATACCTACTCCCTCCGTCCCTATTTAGTTGTCCACTTTAAAAATGACACACATATTAAGGCAACAATGATTAGCATAGTGAGGTTACAATTTTGCCCTTATTAATTATGATTCCAAAATAAATTTATTCAAGATAACTAATTAATGTTAGGGGAAGTTTAAATTTTCGAGAAGTTTAAATGAGGGTATAATAGGAAAAAAATTTTTGTCCTTTCTTAATTTGTCAAAATGGACAAGTAAATAGGAACATCTAAAAGAGGAAATATGGACAAGTAAATAGGGACGGAGGGAGTACTTGGAACCGTAATTTTGATTACTGCACAAATTCTTAAATCTCAAGTTTAGGAATTCAAAAGAAAATAATATATATATATATATATATATATATATATATATATATATATATATATATATATTCTATCTATCTATATTACTTTAAAAACATGAATTCCTAAATGTTAAATTACTATAGTATCCCTAATTTAGATTGTAACTTTTTTAATGAGTTGTGACTTTTCCGATAAGTTGTGACTTTTTTCGAAGGGTTGTGATTTGTCAATAAGTTGTGACTTTTTCAATAAGTTGTTACTTTTCGAAAGAGTTGTGACTTCTCGAAAAGGTCATGACATTTTAGATAAGACACAAAAAACATTTGTTTATACTATCATTTGTTGACTATAAATAAGGGGTTTCCTCTCAGTTTTCAACCACAAATTTTTTTAATATTCTACTCTTCTTCTTGCATTTTAAAATTTTTTGTGTGATTTATTGTCGTTGAGTGAGTTCGAAATTTAGCGGAATATGAGGTACCACTATTCTGATGAAGTAAGTCGTTCTATCCTAAGAGGGTATATTCCATAACCTCGAGTACTTGAGAAAAATAATTTTGATGATATAATAATTATTTTTTGCTTAATAGATACATTAGTATGTAACATTCCAAATGATGTAGTCTAAATTCATTTATTTTTGTTAGCAATTTCTCTTGTGATATAAATATATGCTTCTGAATATCTTTTCCAAAATTTAGAGAACTGTCACAAGTTGTTTTTTATGCTCAAGACAAATGAATGACTTTATTTATCAATGCTACTTATGTGATTTAGACTCTCAGGATTTTTTCTTCAAAATAATTATTACTATATAAACATTGTCCTTTTGTTTTACTTATTTACTAATTCTTAATATTTCAGTATTTTAACGAGGAAAAGTTCATATGACTTGTAATAACGCCGGTTGAAGTTTGTATTAGTAATTTTTATTATTTATTTAATAGTTAATTTTATGAGATAAATATTTTCATTAATGCAAATATATATTTATATTTGGGTAGGTATTTGTATTTAAATTAAAGTATTATATATGTCACAAATGTATTATCAAGTTAACAAGATAATCTAACTTCAAAATATATTATTTTAAAATGTTTCGAGTTTTTAACAAATGTGAAAATATGTGAATATATAAAATGTAGTTGTTCACTTCACATGTTCATATGACATCTAAACAATTTAATGTGAAATACACATGCAAAGCACATCTGGTTAGATGACAACAAAAATACAAAGTAAATATTGCCATAAGGTAATATTAGTGGCATAAGAGGTTTGCGTGAATAAGAGATATATATATGACGATCCACATTGAACATTCACAAAAGAATGTGTAATATTATTTTTTGCTAAGCTTATTATTCAATTTTTTGCTTAAATAAGCAATACTATTTACTACAACATATATTTTTGAATTGGTATTCACATGCAACGCACGTGTCAAAAAACTAGTATATATATATATATATATATATATATATATATATTTCACGGTGTATTGTATAATATAGTATGTGATGTAGTAAAATGGAATTAATATTACTATATTAAAGCTTGGAAGAACATAAGAAAAGTGCTTTTTAAATGATTAATACAGATTGTCAGAGAGTTACTTGTTTTTTTAGATCAAAATGAGCAGATATCATTAAAACATTTCAAAATACATTCAAAGTTTAAATGTGGGGAAAAAGTGTCATTTCTTTAGTAGTATTGTCTTTTACCTCATTCAATTTTATAAACAAAATTAACCAACGAAATAGAAAAAGAAATATCAATATAAAAAAGATCACCAATAACTTTTTCTCTTGAGGTAATGACCATGAATGATGGACACCAGTAATTACAATTTTTCTCTTAAATATTCATACTTAAAAATTGGTATGTGCATGACACTAATAATGATTACCATAAATATTTTAATATTTTATCTTTACACGTAGTATATCATTACAAAATGTAATTACTCAATTAATATTTGAGTAAGGCAATTATAGAGAGGAAATTTTATTTAAAATTGTACTTGTATAATGAATGTCAACACTCTTATAAATAGAATGTTATAGAGACAAAAAATATAACATTAAAAAATTGTTCTAAAGAAAATTAGGTTGTTACACTGAAAATTTGGTATAATGAATTATAGTTACATAGAGGTTTGAGTGTATGTCATATATTTAGTTTGACCAACTCTTTGTTTTAGATCTATATATTTCACTACCATAATTTAATGTTAATATATGAACAACATCACCTATGGTGAAAAATATTTTATTTCTTTAAATTTCTACTTTATCTCTGTGGAATTGTAGTCTTCTCCTTTTTTCTACCGCATACATATCATATAGTTGTTGTCTAATGAAAGTATCTAGTATCTTATATAAGTTGTATCGTGATATAAAATATTATACTTTTTCAATAAAAAAATTAATAGATGAATAAAATTTAAAGTATTATTTATAGAATCTTTAATTTGATTTAAGATCATTTTATGATCAATCGGAATTTTTTTAAATCTATTTTTATATAGCTAGCACGAAGTGTATCTTGTGAAATAACATTTTTTTAAGATTAAAATAAACACAAAATAAAAGTAAATTCATACCTAAAATTATTTAAACTCAATATAAATATAAAAATGAAAAAATATATGGACAATTCATAGCCAATGAAGAAGGTAGTGAAAAATATATGTTCATGTTATATTCTCTCTAGTATTCTATTTGATTGAAATCTCTTGCCACCAATACTTTACTTTCTCTGTTCATTTTTACTTACATATTTCTTACAAATAATTATTATCATGACTATGTTATCATATTATAAGTAAAAATGAAAATCTATTTTTGAATTGGTGGACTTAACATCAAAACTAATAATTTAATGGACTACGTTTATGCCCGTTGTTTTAGAAAGATTAGGAACAAACTCCTTCACTTGACGGTAAACAAATAAAGAATGAAAAAATAAAGAAAATATTTTACCTCAATCATGTGTCCTTTTATGTATTTATTTATTATTGATGAAAAAACAAAGAAGAAACAATTGATGCATGATTTGCTACAATTTGTTCACCAATTCTTTCTTATGTGGTACCTCGAATTTCGTTGAATTTCGAACTTAATCAATTGTTGCAAATAATACTTGAGACTTTTTAAGAAGAAGAAGAGTAGAAAACTTACAAAGATCGTAGTTTAAAAGTGAGAGGAACCCCTTCTATTTATAGCTAACAAATAGTAGCATGAATAGGTGCTAATTGTGCCATATCAGAAAAGTTACAACCCTTGAAAAAAGTCACTGCTCACCGAAAAATCACAACTCATCGGGAATGACACAACCCTTTGAAGAAATGACAATAATTCGAAAAAGTCACAACTCATCAGAAATGTCACAACCCGTCTAAAAAATTCTCAATCCTTCTGAAAAGTCACAACCCTTTAATGTGAAAAGATATCTACTTTTAATATAATACAATTAATTAAATCAATAAATAAAACAAATTAAGTATTTTTAATTAGGGTATTATAGTAATTCAACATTCAAGTTTGAGAGTTCATGCTTTTAAGGTGGTATAGAAGATATAGAAAGATATAGATAGATAGATAGATATAGTCATATATATATATATATAAAGTTCTTTTAAAATATTATCTTATATACATTGTATAATTTATTGTCGAGAGGTTCGGGTGAATACACTTATCTCCTCTAGATCCACCCTTGCCTATGCTACCAAAAAATCCATAGAGCTTGTATTGTATGTACCTACAACTTTGGGAGCGGAAGAAGAATTATACAGCAGAATACTCACTTCATCTTAATTTGTTGATCACTCTTTTCTTTCTTTATTGATGTAAAAATTAAAATTGAATACGAGATATGAAAAAAATAATTTTATCACCTAATCATATTAATTTAAAACATTTTTTATATTAATTTATGGATAAGTCAGATCAAAATTTTACGTAGACCAATAAAAAAAATCACATGTTAGATTAAAAATTAATTAAATAAAATTGTGTTATTAATGAAGAGGCAATTTTGAAGCCTGAAAAGAAATATGAGAAACAGCTTTTGATACAATAGGTAAAAGATAATATTTTTGAGTCATTTTTGGAATCACTTCTTAATCCTTATATCTTAGTAGGCGTTTGGCCATGCGATACCATATCACGATATGGCGTTGTGAGATGGATCAGCGTTTGGACATGCGATTTTACGCTGATTCCATCTCATGATTCCATATCATGAGAGGTGATACCATATTCTCCAAAAACCATGATATGGAATTATATGGTGATTCCATATCATGATTTGAGATATTTTAATACAATAATTGATCCATGAGTTTATATTTTGTTAAAACAACCCCACATTTATATCTACTAACCATTTGTTTCATATGTAAATAAAATTTATAATCACATCATTACTTTTTAAAATGTATTATTCTCACCAATATAAAATTTATTATTAC